ATATATATGTTCAAAGAGCTACAAAATAAATTGTAGTTGTAACACAGGAATAATGTAACTTGAAACGCTCTCCGTGTTTAAACAATAACATATACATACCCTTTTCTAGATATATACAAACAAATTCCAAAACATGAAACAACAAAAACCATTATATAATTCTTCCCCTCGCCAGCTTTACATTATTCCTGTGTTACAACTACAATTTATTTTGTAGCTCTTTGAACAACTATATAGACCATTCTACTAGTATGTAGATGCGGAGTCCTTACAACCTAAAGTAACTGGCTCGGACATATTCCGCTTTATTCCATATACATATTTCCTGATATGGTTAGACATTATGACGACGATGAAATGAGTTGTGTGGCACATAATGTAAGTCATGAGTCTATCACATGATACTTTCATTTCCTTTATTACCGAGATATAGCTCATTTGCGCAGACAACATGCAATTGTGAGATGGATTAATTTACTTGTGTTGTAGTCCTTCCTTTTAAACCCACATTTGGGGTCCCAAGGCCTGGACTACTTCATTGTAGAGCTGGCGAGGGGAAGGATTATATAATGGTTTTTGTTGTTTCATGTTTTGGAATTTGTTTGTATATATCTAGAAAAGGGTATGTATATGTTATTGTTTAAACACGGAGAGCGTTTATATATATATATATATATATATATATATATATATATATATATATATATATATATATATATATATATATATATATATACAGGGTGTATCAAAAAAAGCGCAATCCTCGACCGAAATGTAAATTGCTAAACAAATAATAGACGAAAACGTTAAAGTTTACATTCATTTTAAAGCGTAGCCACTCAGCTTTCCAACAGTGGGTTGTTTCTTAAATTTGAGTCATTGGTTCGCGGGTAATTATACTTTACGTTATTGCGATTGGAGATTAAAAAAATTGAAATAGAATAACAAATCGTTCTCATGAAAATAACTGATTTTTTCATTAAAACAAAAAAATGTTGCATTTTATTAAATGGATTGTAACAATAAGTATAATTACGGCTTTTCTTCCACTATTTTTAACTCTGCAGTTTGAAACTTCAAATGCG